TTTATCGTAATTTCATCAATACATATAAACTAAACGATGCAAACTGCTGTTGCCTATTCAGCAATTAATGTTTCTTTTATTCGGAAGTGTACCCGACTTTCTTTTGGTGGGGAACTGTCGTGTGTAGAAATACTGCTAAAGAACTGTAAAGGATGCTCTGGATGTAAACAACAACAAAAAAAAAAAAAAAAAAAATCTGAAATGTTTCAGATTTTAAATTACGTCCAAAGGGGCGTTTTTTAACATTTTGTGTGTTACCTTTCTTTATTAAATATCATGTTCCTCGCACTTAAACCATAAGATCCAGTGCAACAGCAATATCGCAAAATAGTTTTAAAACGAGCATATCTTTAGAATTTCCGATACAGAGACTCACGCGCTGGAGATAAAAATATTTTTTCTGCACAACGTTGCCATTGCTCGCTTTGAAATCCTTGAGTTTGTTAATCCAAAATTCGTCAAAGTTTTAAAAATAGGAAATCGATCATAAAACAAATTTCAAATTTCAAATTTGGTCTTCCACATGCTCATATTCGTTGGAGGATTACGTTATTCAAAATTCGATGACTCTATGTACCGTTATTTTACGACAATGTGAGAAATATACATACATTTACGCAGATTTTCATTATTTAATTTCTTCAAATATAATGCAGGACTCTAACATTTTATGGCAACAGTTTGAAAAGTGAACCGACATTTATGAGTCCGACGCAAAATGCCAAAACGAAACTAATAGTCCTTCGGGATTCAAATCCCTTTGGACTAAAAAAAAAAAAACACCTGATTTGAAAACAAAAGCTTGGAAGCCCTGCGTCAGTCGTAGTGCGGGGTTGGTGCCTCCTTTTATTCTTACCTCCATGGTACTGTCCGTTGTTTGGAGGCAGTTTGCAAAGAGCCGTGAGTTGGGTTGCCGGTTTGACGCAGGTCATTGAGCGGCATGGCCTGCTTTATCTGTTCATGAGATTTCTTTTAATTTGAGATATTTTGTTTTCTTACTTTCTTTAATAATGTAAATGTCATCTAAATGAACGTAAATTTAGGAAAATAGAGACTAAAAAAAGTTGCTATTGTTGTTTTTGTCTTGTCCATGTATTTCATGGAAGAATGGTTGCCACAGCTTCAAGGAGGTTGGACTTGTACTTCCACCCCAGTTTTGAGGGACAGCACTCCCCTATCGCCAAACAACACGAGATGGCCTTCAACTCGTCATATATTTAGAGTGCTCCCATGCCGCAAAGACACTATACATTTGCAAACATCCATGACTTCTCTGGTATTCGAACCCGACCTTTCGATACCGCAGTAGGCTTCCTTAACCACTATACCGTCTGAGCAGCACAAAAATAAGTAATTTTACAAATGTAGCTAATAAATGCTGTTTAAAAGCAGGTCTTCATGAAGATCTAAAATGCCGCGCCCCTCAGAAGGCCAAAAACAGGCTGTTGACGCAATTTATGGGCCCACCAATAGACGGCCATAAAAATAAAGAAGCTTCCATAAAAATTCTAGCATATTCAAGTAATGCTGTTATTTGCAATGCATAAAACCCAACTTTGTTTGTAAAGCACATTCCACAAACTAATTTTAGACTTTTTGACTATCTAGACTGAATCAATTTCGTGTATTTTATTACTCTTCAAATACTTAGATTCTGAAACATCTGTACTACAAATACGTTTTCAGGCTTAATAAAAAATCCTTTATTACAGTTGTTTTGATGTTTCTAAGACGTCTAACATATTTTACATTTTCTACATGAATTCTTTATCGAAATTATTTTGACGTCTCAACACTTTTATCCTTTTACATAACCTAGAATGTTATTATTTTTTGCCCCCCCCCTCATACCATGTTTGAAAAGGATATCACGTTTACGAAGAAAGAAGCTCGAAATCTAATCTTAGAGAAACATTTGCTCTTTAAACATACTTTTTCATCGCGTTGCAGCACGAATGTATGAATGGCAGTTGCAGTAATTCTTACTTCCAGTGGATGCAGATACGTGAAACTTCTGATTGAAATAAGGTTTTTTACACGTTGCAGCAAAGCAGTTATCAAAGGAATCTGCAGATATTTTAAAAGTTCTTATTAAAGTTGTAAGAAACTTCTTGGACAAAAACCAAATCAGATAAAAAAAAAAGGAACGGCGACGCATTTATCTTACACCTACACAAAGCATTCCAGGAACAATTGCAGGGGTTTTTGTCTTTTGAATCATTGGTACATGATCAATACTTTCAGCTTCAAATAATAGAAATATACATCTTTTAATGGAATGTGTGTGTGGCCGTTATTTGGGCAAAATGGGAAAATCCCACTTGTGTGAGGCCTTTCTCAAACACCATGCATAGATACATCATTTAAACTTTTAAGCAAAATGTATAGCATATTTTTATGTAAAAGGTCATGATACCTGATGGAACAAATTCCCCGCTTTGTATACAAGTTGCTCAGTGTTTTTTGTGAGAGGTGTTTAAATCATTGGTTACTATTTAACAGGGATGGCCGAACTTCAAAACTATGGAAGCCGCAATGATAGATTTTATGAATATTCGAGAGCCGCAAGTCCAAATTTATATCGTTTTAAAAATAATGATATAGGTTTTGAATATAAAGAAACTTTTTAAGTAAATTAATGACTATGTGATTAACATGATTACATATAAATGTAAATAAATACATCTTATATATATTGTTTTATGTTCAGAAACGCTAAGTCCCAATAAAATAAAAATTTGTAACTCTTGTACTGGGCAACTGAGCGTTTTTTCTTCAGGTAGACAAACCAAATACTTTATTCTGATTTCCGTTATACCTCTCCGTTTATAATTATCGTTGTTTTATTTTAGTAGAAGTAAAATGAATCGGAAGAATATTCATTGGCCTACAGTTTTTTTTTTTTTTTTTTTTTTTTTTTTTTAAACCCTCATGAGAATTTTTTCAGAAAAGGATAACTTAAATGATACGCGTCAACGCGCACTGCAGATAAACTGTTATTCGAGGAAGAATATTTATTTAAAAATAAGCTATTAACTTGTTAAGGCTCTTGCTTAAAATGTAATTTTGTTTCTCCGCATCTGCGCACAATTAAAAAATAATAATTGTTTTTTGTCTCCGTCCGAAGGAACAACATACTGACGTCATTCGAATCTTTGGATAAACATTTTTTCTAAAAACTTTAAATAACTTCTTTTACTGATACCCAATTTAGAAGAATTCACCAAGGAAAAAAAAAAAAAAAAAAAAGAATATGATTGTAATTTCAGTGGTATTTTAGTAATCAGTATCTCTGGTGACAGTCCTGACTGATACAGTATTTCAGCGTGCCATCTAACGGAATCTGCCAGAATGTTTTAGTAATCAGTACATTTCGCATTTTGAAAATTCTCCAAATTATCTCTCGAATCATCCCGATAATTTTGGGCATAGTTAACGAAGTTTATCCGCATCATTGAAAATTATTGGGTACTGTTTCCGTTAGAGTGGCGTCAGTTAAACATGCGCCACTTTTTTTTTGCCACCAATTGTTGCCAGGTATAAATTATAAAATAATAATAGAATTCAAAAGACTAAAAACATTACTTTTGTATAGAGTAAATTTTTTGTTTAATTTCATAACTTTTAAAGAAAGTAAATTCTTCTTTTTAATTTTTTAATCTAGAATATTCTACACATAAATAAAAAATAACAAAACAAAACGAAATTTAATCTAAACAGCTGGCGTAAAGAACATTATATAAATATAAATAAAAAATAACACCGTTTTGTGCACTGAAAACTCCGCCTTCTTGCCAGATGGCCGAATTGCTCGTTTTTGCATAGAAATTCTAATTTTAATTGTAAAAATTGTTAGTCCAAAGGAAAATTTGCCCAGAAGGACTACTAATTTCGTTTTGGCATTTTGCGTGGATTCACCACAAGCGTTGTTTCCACAGAATGTTATCGCTCTGCATTATATTTAAAGAAATTAAATAATGAAGAATGTGCATGTATATTTCTCGCATTGTGATAAAACAACGGTACTTAGAGCCATTCAGTTTTGAATGACGTAATTCTCCTGCCAATATGGGCATTTGGAAGCCCGAATTTAAAATTAGGAATTTGTTTTATGATCAATTTTCTATTTTGTAAAACTTTAACGATTTTTTGATTAACAAACTCAAGGATTTCAAAGCGAGCCATGGCAACGTTGCACAGAAAAATCATTTTTATCTCCAGCGCGCGAGACTGTGTGTCGAAAATTCTAAAGATACGCTCAATTTAAAATTATTTTGCGATATTGCTGTTGAACTGAATTTTAAGTGCGAAGAGCATGATATTTAATAAATAAAGGTAACACACAAAATGTTAAAAAAACGCCCCTTTGGACGTAATTTAAAATCTGAAACCTTTCCTATTTTATTTATTTATTTATTTAACTGTTTTAACTGTATTTGGTGTTTTATGTTTTTCTATAGGTTTCAATTTTTAATGAACATATTTTGAGGCTTTATGCATTTGTGCTTTGCTGCAAAGTAAGAAATAAATTGAGAAATCTATCTCTAATGAAATTCGAGGAAATAAGTTTAAATGAAATGCAGTAAAATATGCATATAATTTAATATTCCGTATAAGGAAGTCATGTGATATCAGCATAATAAATACTATAAAAGCAAACATAACACAATTGCCAAAATCACGCAATCTTTTTCGGGAATCCTCAGGAAGTAGTATAACTTCGAAGAAAGTTTGAAGAATTTTTTTTGGAAGGAATAATTTTATAACAGAGAAGCGCTAATACCTTGTGGAATGGCAGCATTTACCAAACCGTATGCATGATAAATGCTTTAATAATGTAAGGTAAAGTATTAGAAAATCTGAAAAGTTTAACCAGAAAGTAATCGCAAAGACGAGCCTTATATTTGCTTGCTGCTCCTGTTATGTGAAATTTTAAAACTCTTAAAATATAAAATTTTGTTTTAACATAGTTTAAATTTTTTTTTAATTTTGTCTTTCAGAAGCGTGTGCGGGACTGCTCAAAATGGCATCTGGCAACCATGATGCAGTGGAACCCGCAAGCAATGCCACATGCTATATCCTCGCAGCGTTATTCCTGGCAGTTCTTCTACCCCATCTTGTGGCACTGGGTTAGTTAACTTTAAATCCATAATCCTTAGTTTTACTTCTTGTATTATTATAACAATTGAATTTCAGTTTTTCATCTCAAATATATACTTTGCCTAAAACGAAGGGTTTCATATCTGTTAGAGATTTCTGACTTTTATTGTATTGATATTGCTCGAGATTTAAAGGTCTAATGCGATGATTATTTCTGCACCGATTCCAATGCATACACATCTTAATTATGTTTTTTGTCTCCGTTCAGTGTTAAACGCTGTTAAAAAATTAAAGAATCATAGTTTCGGGCAACACTACTTTAATCCAACGCATAACATCTTAAGTAAAATCTGTCGAACATGAATCTATGGCTTCAAAGGCTAAAGTGATTTCTTATGCAAAGTAGAACGTGACATCAAAATACTTAACTGCCAAAATTCAAAAATACCCATATCAGTCGCACCCATGTATTACAAATACAGGATTCAAGAAAGTCCAATGATAACGATTATACCGTTTGCATTTCGGATATTACCCTTAACGACGTTCCTTTTTGAAAAAAGAGTTGTCAACACCATGACTTATAGAATGAACTGCTTAACGAATAACTGAAGAGAAACGAATTATAAAGACAAGCAGCGATACTTCTCAGTTATCGTGACCGGATTAAAAAAATGTATGTACATATGTGTTGGGTCAGTCCATAAATTCGTGTGCATTGTTTGGTAAATTTTTAAATAGCATAAAAAACACAATTTAACATTTTAATCAATTACATATTTTCCTCCATTTTCTACAATGTCTCGCCATCTTACAGGCAGCTTTTTTTATGCTATTGCTGCAGAAAGACACTGGTTTTGATGCAAAAAAACTTGAAAGTTCATTCTGTACATCCCGTTTAGAATTTAATTTTTTTCCCAGTAAAAATTGTTTTTAAGGCAGTAAATAAGTGAAAATCACTCGGGGCTATATCTGGAGAGTAAGCAGGATGTGGCGAAAGCTCTCAATTAAATTCGCTCATTTTTTTCAGCGTTGTTAGAGCCGTATGCGGTCTAGCGTTATCATTCATGATGAGACAACACTTTCTTGATATTCACCGATCGTGGGCGTTTTTTCATCAATTCTGAGTTTAGACGGCAAAGTTGTTCACCATAAACTTCTGAATGAATCGTTTGATTTGTTTCTAACAAATCACGTCCTGAACGGGGTTCATCATCCATGCTGCTTTTTCCAAGTTTAAATTTTTTAAACCATTTCTGGACAGTCCTTACACTAATAGTGTGTTCACCATGTATACTATTAATTTTTATCGCTGTAAACCCGGCAGATTCACCACACGAAAATAAAAAATGTAGCACAGCACGTTTGTACTGATTACCTATATTCATCTTCTATGGGTACTAAAATGCGTTCGATATTTACGTAAGTTGGTGATGAACTGCATAATATGTTAGTCAAACGATGACAAGTTTCAACAGGTTCAAAATTGTATTGTTTTAGTAAATGCGTCATAGTGAATTCCACGCATACACTTAATGCGCATATATGCTTATGCTTATGGACTGACCGATATATATGTGTGTTAGTATAATTGGGTATGCACATACATATATACCATATATGTAAGTAACACACATACATACATATGTTTCTGAATTCGGTCACAATAACAAGGAAATACCCAAGTAGCGAATTTTATTAGCGTGCCTCAAACTGTGTTCTAGGGAGATTCTGAGGATTCCAGATGTACTAGGAGTATTCAGAGGATGAGGACTGTAGAGTCATTAGGTTATTTTGATGCTGGAGACGTGAAAAATGAGCAATGCCCTCGCCGTAACTCGAACCTGGACCTCTCGAAGACTCGCCGAGTGTGCTAACTGTTACACTACGAAGGCATGCTGGAAGGAGCGACAAAATACCTTATAGGACAATGTCGTCACGTGCAATGGTAGAAGAGGACGAGCGTTTTCTGTTCACAACACTCCACTAAAATGGAACAAGAAACGTCTTTACCTGCAAAAGGAATCATTTCCAGCTATAGGACGAAACATTTGGACACAGATTGTACCGAATTGCTGCCATCAGATGTTGTGTACGCGCGCAAATCTGTAGTTTTTGCTTTCGTTACGATAACGTGTGCGGATGGACATCACAATTGGAGTAAAACAGAATAGCGTCATCTGGTCTTCAGGAACTAATCAAGAATCTCTTCAGTCAGATGACTGTCCAGCTTTTATAAGGAGGTAATATAATATAAGAAATAATACCAGTTTTCAGCCCAGAAGTTCACAAGCTAGAAGTGAGACTGATGGTTAGGAAGGAGTATGTGTGGAAGGACATATAGACCTCCATGTCATCTGAAATGTCAACCTCATGGAGAGAAGAAAGATGAACACTGGGGGGGGGGGAAGGACGGTTCTATATCTCCCGTTCTACTCCTGGGAAGATTGACGAGATTCCAATAGCGTTTTTCATGTTTCGAAAGCGCGACTTAGGATATATATTAGATTTCTATATAGCATTATTCTAACTTAGGTATTTTGACAAAAATCGGACTTTTCCTGAAATGACATATCAATCTATTTCCATATTTCGATTCTACGACTCAAATTATGCCTGGATATTAAATTTTGTAATTTTTGGAGAGAAATTAATGGAGAAATTTAAAAATTTATTTTGGCGTATTTTTTTCAGTTGCGCCAAGAATAATTTACACGGCGAACGTCTTAATATATGGTAAAATATTTTCTTTTCTCTTCCATTATGCAGGAGCGGGAGAAAGGTCACTTCGTTCCTACATTTTTACATTGTGCATGAGCGGAAAAAAAATTACATCATTCCTACTTTCAAATAATTTTAACAAAGTGCCTTAACCACATTTGATGTTTTATCGCTTTCAACAAATATGCCAAATTTCAAAATGGGTCAATATATAAATTCAAGTATATCTTCAGAAATTTAGAATTAAAAAACTCTAATTTCTTGCAGGTATGCTTAGAAATACATCTACTTTAAGATGATGATAAAAATTTTAAACATTATAATTTAAATCGTTTTTCGAAAAAATTATAACAATTATTTTAAAATACAAATTTTAAAAATAAATCATTAAAAATGGGCGAATTTTATTTGAAATGAACCTAAATTTCGAAATGTGAAAAGAAGAATCAAATAAGTATAGTAAAAAAATAGAAATTAATAAATATATACCACACTCAATTAACACTGAGGAGCTAAACTTTTGAGAGCTAATTTTCTAAATCAGAATGCTGCTGTTCAGTTGCTATTCATTTATTAAGCATTATCTAGCATATACATTTCTTTAACTTCTTTTTATCCCATTCACTAAGGCTGCTATCTCCAGCAGCAATCTTTCTCCTAACACCCGTATATTTCCAATCAGTTCTTTATATCCGTTATTCCCTTTTTTCTGCACCTAAAAAGCCACTTGTTAAGTACTAAAGCTTTTGTGTTTATACGATAATTTGAGCTCGAGCTCCATTCCGAAACGGAAATGGGAAGGTATGAACCGAAAAAGATAACTGACGCTTCGTTTAATAAGCCTGACGTCCATTATTTACTGTTGCAGGAACCACGGACAAAGGAAGAGAAGGAGACTCCTCCCGCCTTATGAAATGTCGTTTAAAACTGTAGTCTTTCACATTCTTAAGAGCTTGAAATACTGCAAAAAAAAGAAAATTTATACATTTATACTCGTATTTACAACTTAATTATAAAATGTTTTCCTCTGAACAATTGCATATCCACAAAGCCTACAGACCATGTCTTCTACGGTCTGCTTTCATTGGATAAAAAAATCTATTTGGCGGTCATATTTGGAATGGCGAGAGTTATCGCCTTGTAGGCTTGGTAATTAGCGCCAAACAAACCTCGTGGGCTTTCAGTAAAGCGAGGAGAAGAACAAAAAAATAATTTAAATCTGAACCCACTCCGTGTTTTTGTAAAATATAAATCATGCAGCAGTTTTTATAGATAATTCCAACTTCAGTGCAATGCTTCATGAAAAACAACAATTTCTTATATTTCTTATCGAAACATAGATATAAATGTTTTTTTTTTTTTTTTTTTTTTTTTTTTTTTTTTAACAAAAGTGTTAGAAGCTGCATGGAAAACATTCATAGTGTTAAAATCTTAATCAAAACAAAGGAACTTCAAAATAAATTCCCACGAAAATAATGAAAAGTTATTTAAAAAACTTAGTGAAATATCTGTTCTTCCACATCATCAGTACTATTCCTGTAGGAAGTCACTGGCCATGTAAGAACGTCTTCAAAATAGAGCTTCTGTATATCGAGAACTTTGTAAGGTTATAAGGTTATTTTCTCTCTCCTTTCTGCATGCCTTCGTGGTGTAACGGTATCGCACTCGGCGTGTATTCGAGGGGCCCAGGTTCAAATCCCGGCGAGGGCATATTTACTTGGATGATAAATTCTTTAGCTGAATACGGTGGCCTAACGGTGAGAAAAATGAAAAGTATCAACAATATATGTTATGTGAAAATGGAAAGCAAAAGGTCATCTCCAATTATCCGAATCGCTTTCAAACCCATTCTTCGGAAAAAATCCATTTATCCGAATTGGGGGTCCAGTCTCAACTGATTCGGATAACTGGAGTTCTACTGTATTTTTTCACATAAGATTTACGTTTTTGTTTCGAACTACAGCTGAAACAGAATATTCTTTACATCATCTTTGAAACTTCATGAATATATTCCAAACAAAGTTATTATCTGAGGGAAGCAATAAAACTGTTAGTCTGACTTTTCAGTCGTCGGTTGTTATTAGGCAAGATTGCACTAGATGAAACTCTAACCCGAGCTGAGAAACAATAGCGTGTTTTGAATGCCGAAGCTATTTCAGATCTCCGAGCTAAAAGAAGGAAGCTTTAAATGATACAAAAGGGGAAAATATACAATAAAAACTCTCGTTTGCGAGAAGCCGAATTTCTTTTGACATCAATTTCAACATCAAGAAAGCTTTTCTTTTGAAAAATAAGTCGAAAGCGCATA